TCAAAAAAAAAAAAAAACCTCCCACAAGTTGCAGCATATGCTATGGAAATTGTATTGATTAAAAAAAAAATTTTAATGAAAGCGTGGTCTCACAAACCGGCATACGGACACCCGCACGTTATCATTCCCCAAATATATATTCCTAGAAAACAGTACAAAAAAAATTTTGTTTTTTCTACACAAAGATTTGAGCTTTTTCGCTTGCTTTCTCTTTCCTTCCACCGGAGCTTACTCTGCAAAGGCACACCCTCACCCCCACCCTGATGATTTTCACCTGAAATCCAGTTGCTGTACCCAAGATCCCTTTCCCATTCTCCATCCGATTTTCTCACAGTAAGCTTTCTCTCCTCTCTTTCCCTTTCCACTTAAAATCTGTCCTTCTTTTCACCTTTTCTGGTATTTTATCTTCTTTTTTCTCACTTCAGTTACCTTTCTGTTTTTGTTTTTTGCTTTATTTGTTATTTCTTTCATTTGATGGTGTGATTTTGATTCTGTTTCGGGCACCCTTTGCTTTATTCACTCAGATTTGTTTGTAGGTTACCTTTTGCTGGCATTACGAGGATTAATTGGTTCATGCAGAGTGTTTTCCTTCCACCAATCTCAATCTAGAATTGGGTTGTGGTGTGAATGCGATAGAGGCGTATCCACGAGGTTTTCCGTTCTGGGTTTCGAAAGGTTTAGCGAAATGGACGGTAGTTTTGCCATTTCCATCTGCATGCAATAGATTGTAAGTTTTTAAGGCTCTTAAATCAAATTTTGTTCTGGATTTTTGGAATCAAGTTTGTTTCTTTTTTTATCACTTTATGGAACTGTGAATCTATGACGGTAAAGTGGTGCTTATTCAGTGGTAGCATCTGATCAGTGGATTGGTGGGTCTGATTTATTTCTTGAGTATATCCCCTCGCATGGTTTGTGGGTTCTTGCTCCGGGTAGACTTGGCAGACTAAGTTAATGTGGACCTTTCTGTGTTTCAGGGTTTCTTTTCCATTATTACTAGCTTTTAGGAATTAGGAACATTGTTTTCCTTTCCCAAAAGAAATTTATGCTTTTGTTTATTTACTTTTAATCTCGCCAGCACCTTCTGATATTAGTTGTTAGTTTAGGATATCAAGAAGTGAGGGCCTTTTGCTCTGTAGCGCACAATCCACGTTCTGTTCCTTGATGAAATATAGCTGAACTCTCTAATAGTCTAATTTTAATGACTTTTGAGGAACTGAGTAAAATGATTTAGTTTTTCTGTCATGTGAATCTTGTTTGGTTCATGGGATTGATATATCGTTTGAACTGAGTGGAGTTTAATGTATTATCAAGTCTGATATTCACCTCTATTTTTCAGGTTCTCATTATTGAGCAGAGTGTGAAGATTGGATGGCCCTGGCCCCTGGCACTGTGGTGGTTCTAAGCCTAGCTTTAGGATTGAAATAACTTTTGGCTAAGAAAATTTGGGGTTTTGGACACTTTGAGTGACCTCTTAAGGTAAAAACTTTGTTGAATGGGGATTCAGACAATGGGGTCTCAAGGTGAAAATAATACTAGTAGCAAACAGTCTCACTTCCAGCCATTGGCACGGCAAAATTCAATGTACAGTCTTACTCTAGATGAGGTTCAAAATCAGTTGGGTGGCTTGGGGAAGCCCCTAAGCAGCATGAACCTTGATGAGCTTCTCAAGAATATATGGACAGCTGAGGCCAATCAATCTATTGGTGTGGAAACTGAGGGACCAATGCTGGCCAATCAAACTGTTCCACAGCGCCAGGCAAGCCTGTCAATAACTGGTGATTTGAGCAAGAAAACAGTTGATGAGGTCTGGAGAGATATTCAACAAAGCAAAAGTGATGGGGAAAAGAAGTCTTGGGATAGACAACCTACTCTTGGAGAGATGACTTTGGAGGATTTCTTGGTAAAAGCAGGGGTTGTTGCTGAAGCATCTGCAGATAAAAGATCTGGTGGTTCTGTCACTGGGATCGATCATAGTATTGCACCACAGTTTCCACAGCAAGGTCAATGGATGCAGTACCAACATGCACAATATCAGAATCCACAACAAAGTATGATGGGGGTTTATATGTCAGCCCAGGCTATGGCACAAGCATTGCCTATGGGGGCAACAGCTCCTGCAGTAATGGATGTCTCATACCCAGAGAACCAAGTTGCAATGCCTCCACCTTTAATGGGATCATTGTCTGATACACAAACATCTGGAAGGAAAAGAGGCACCTCTGAGGACGTGATTGAGAAGAGTGTTGAAAGGAGGCAGAAAAGAATGATAAAAAATCGGGAATCTGCAGCTCGCTCACGAGCGAGGAAGCAGGTCAGCTTGCATTCTGCTTTGGTTTTCTTTTCTCTTTGTATTGTCATTTTATTTTAGTTTGCATATTTATTCTTGATTATTTTGCAACCTGAAAAAAAAAAAAAATACTATGACAGGCTTATACCAATGAATTGGAACACAAAGTGTCACGCCTGGAAGAGGAAAATGAAAGGCTTCGGAAACAAAAGGTTAGAGTTGTTTGACTTGTCTATTCTGAAAAGTTAAAGCAACATTTCTCATGGTTACTGCATATGTTTTTTTTTTGGTCCTTTTAGTACTCCTTTTATTTTGTTTTTACTTGTGAAGTTGAGAGTAACTACACATTATGTGCAAAAACTGTATTTGACTGGCCTATGGTTTATTCTAGCATGTTTTTGTTTGCCTTTAAAACATTAATGTATTGTATGTTCCTCTTGTGGTCCACTTAATAGCTTACATTCTGCAGCCTGGCTGCGATTGGCTTAATCTTTATGAATTGAGTTCTCTTTTGCTTGTGATAACTATTTGAATTGAATAATTATTTTGGGATGAGTTAGTTTGTTAGCACATGATCCTCCCTTTCTTGCAGTTGAGCAAATAGCACTACCAGCAGGAACATCTTGAGTCAAAGTATTTCTCTGCATAATACGTGTCTGTTCATGGTAGTATAAAATGGTTATTAAGCTTGCAACAGAAAAGCTAGATTAGCAGATATTTATCACAAATTAACAGAATAAGTAGACAGTAAAAGTCATAGCTGTTGTAATTCTTAACAACTAGATTCCTTATCATGCTCATTTTGCAAATATGGTGCTGAAAATATATCAACATGTTGCAGTTGCAGGATGCTATTTGAACAATCTCTTTATGACTGAGCTATGTTGCACATTTTTTTCTCTGATCAGTAACAACTAATAAGTAATTAAAGTTAAAAGTTAAATATTTAAAATCCTAAGTTATAATCTATCACAAAAAGCTAGTGCCATCTGGCCCAACTATAAAGAGGGTTTAGTTTTCAGAGGTATAACTACTGCTGCTCAACTATAAAATCCGAAGTTATAACCTATCACAATCTTCTCCTCTTCAGTTAAAATGACATCACTACTGCTGTAAGAATATTTCTCAGTACAAACTGCAAAAATTATAGATATGAAAAATCAGCTTTACTCGCGCTTTTTCCTCTCGTGATGAGTTTAGTTTGTCAAATCTGAGGTATAGCTTCCTTTTTATTTTTTTCCTACTCTTTTTCTTGTGAACTATTTCTCGTCTCATGACTCTCATCAGTGCTTATAGATGGTTTCTTACTTTTCTACTGCTGTTTGTTTGAATTTGCCTCTGTGAATACAAGAATGTTTGATATTGTGCCATCTTACATGATAATCACATTGAAATATAGTCATGACTGAAGATGATTGATTTCTTTCTTTTTTAAAATTGGGTGAGGTTGGGTATCCATATACATGATGATAAGATGAATTTGAGAATAAGTGTTTGATGCATGTTGATATAAATTCCATATTCTCAGCACTTTGAATTGTTGTGTTAACTTTTAGGAGCTGGAGAAGATGCTTCCTAGTGCACCACAACCAGAGCCAAAATATCAGCTCCGTAGAACATCTTCAGCCCCATTCTAACAACTGCTAGAGCGGAAGCCTTTCAGCTACATCAACTTCTGACTGCTGTTTAATATTTACATTCCAGTAAATACATCAAGCAATCACTAGCCTCTGGACCTTGCAGAAGCAGCTGCCCTTTGCTTGTGCCGATGATGGTTGCTTCTTTGTATTGTGATGGTTTTGCTGTTTCTGTATTTTCAGTGAATTAGATGCCTTAGAAATTTTCGTGGTACCTTGTGTACTTTATAGCCATGGAGTGTTAAGATAGGGACAAAATTGTACGTTATAAATGAAGTCGTAGATTTTGCTCTCTGTTTTCTTTTCCCTTTTTTTTCTTCCATGAACAGAGTTTTTCTCATTATAGAATTCCGAATTTTATGATACTACTAGCATGCAGCCATGCAAGCAGTGGATGATAGCTTAAGAAATTCCCTAATTTTTGTCTGTTTCATTAACATTTTCCAAAAAAAAAAAAAGGAAAAAGGAAGAAAGTATAACTGTATAAGATGGCCATTTCTGGGGCAGTCCTCTTCCGGGTACTGGTACTTGATAGCCAAAAAGAAGAAAGATGTTGTCTCTCATCCCCACGCTGTGCGCCTGTGCGGGTCACATGTGAGACAAGGGGCAAACCTGGTAATTCGGTTCCTCCAAGGAGACAACAAATGATGCAAAGGGAAAGCATTAGCTCCATTTAGGAATCTTCCAACTCTCCAGCCTCTTGGCTTCTGTCTTGTTCATCTGCTCGATGTAAGAAAAATGGACGGCAGCGTTCTCCGGCAGCTGTCAATTCGGTCTGCAACTTCTCTTGCCTTTACAGCTAGATGCTGTGGAAATGAGTGGTTAGTTTGGTGAATTGCTCATCTTCTTCTTCCATGTCACTCTTCTGTACTTGTAACCTAATCTAGGGTTTTGCTTTCAAGACCTGATTCAATTTCTAAGTTCTTTCTTATTTCTATCCGATCCATGGGGAACGTGTTTTTGGATAAATCGGGAGAATTAAGAAAAGGGAAATGTTTAAAAATTAGAGCTTGATAATACCCAATACTCTGTAGTGAATTATTTGATAATGGCATTTATTTATGATGAGATGATGCTATTTTCTGGTTGAAAATGGGAACTTGGTAAGCCTGCTAGAAAGTCTATGTTGTTAGTCAAAAAAATGCAAGGTTTCTAGGTATCTAGCTTTATAATGTAATCTTGTTTACACTTTTAGCTTTTTCATCCAGCCCATCTTTTATTTATTTCTCTTCTTTTCTTTTATCTTGATAGCATATTGCCTCAGTTTTCTGCATAATGGCTCAACATTGAGTGCTGTGAACTTGAAGAATAGAAGAATCATCTGATCAAGGCTTTGATTATATTGGGTGTTTTTTGGTTAAAGTAAGGTGTGTAATGGAAGGAGTCACAGACGGAAATGGTGTTCCTCCAAATGCCTTTGATAAGTCCAAAATTTTGGATGTGAAACCGCTTCGTAGCTTGGCTCCTGTCTTCCCTGACGGACCTCAAGGCCAATATTTTGTCTGCGCACCACCTTTTGGCCCTTTCCCATCCGGCTTTACTCCATTTTACCCTTTTAGTGTACCACCAGGATTCCAATCTGAACCTGAAACCCCTACTCCCATTCGGTTATTTAGAACAGCAGTCCCTCATTTTTCAGCCACTCGTAATGGTGAGAGCGGGGCATCAATGGATGCATCTAGAGGAGGAAGCGGCAAGCCTCCAAGGAAAAATCGAGATGTGCAGTTTTCATCTGGAAAAGGGCCTGCTAAGGATTTTAAACTTGGGTTTAGTTCCACTGAACGGGATGATGGCAACTGGGAAGTGGTGGAAAATGTGCTTATGAGGTTTGATGCACTTCGGAGAAGGTTTAGTCAACTAGAAGATGCGAAGGAAACAACATCTGGGATTATCAGGCGAGCAGATTTGAAAGCAGGCAATGTATTGATGAGCAAAGGGATTCGTACAAACATGAAGAAAAGGATTGGAGCTGTTCCTGGAATTCAATATGGGGAAATTTTCTTTTTCCGGATGGAGTTGTGTGTGGTGGGATTGCATGCTCCATCCATGGGTGGAATCGACTACATAAATGTGAGGGGTAACTCCGAGCAAGAGACACTGGCTCTAAGTATTGTTTCATCTGGCGGTTATGACGATGAAGCAGAAGATGCAGATGTTTTAATATATAGTGGTCAAGGTGGGAATGCCTATTACAAGGACAAAGAGGCAGCTGATCAGAAGCTTGAACGAGGTAATCTTGCTCTGGAAACGAGCTTGCACCGAGGCAATGAAGTAAGAGTTGTTCGGGGTATGAAGGATGCAGTTAGTACAAAGGCAAAGGTGTATGTATATGATGGACTATATAAAATTCAGGAGTCATGGATGGAGAAGGGGAAATCAGGTGGCAGTATGTTCAAATATAAATTGTTGAGGTTGCCTGGACAGCCAGATGTTTTTGCTCTCTGGAAATCAATTGAGAAGTGGAAAGAAGGTTTGTCGTCAAGGCCTGGACTTATTCTTCCTGACCTTGCTTCAGGTGCTGAAAGCATGCCTGTTTCACTGGTAAATGAGGTTGATGATGAGAAAGGACCTGCTTATTTTACTTATTTCCCTACCGTGAAGTATTCTAAATCATTCAAATTATTGCATCCTTCTTTTGGCTGCAACTGCCACAGTGCATGTGCCCCTGGAAGTACGAACTGCTCGTGCATTCAAAAGAATGGAGGTGATTTTCCTTATACTGCTAATTTCAATCTGGTAAGCCGAAAATCACTGGTATATGAATGTGGTCCCTCATGCCCATGCTTCCCTAATTGCAAAAACAGAGTTTCTCAGATGGGTTTGAAAGTTCGCCTGGAGATTTTTAAAACAAGAGACAGGGGTTGGGGACTGCGCTCATGGGATCCTATTCGTGCAGGCACTTTTATTTGTGAATATGCAGGTGAAGTGATTGACAAAATCAACACCAGGCAGAGCGGTGAAGATGATCACAATGAGCATGTTTTTGATACAAGCCGTACTTATCAATCGTTCAGGTGGAATTTTGAACCCGAGTTAATAGAGGAGGAGAGCCCCCCTGCTCCAACCGAAGAGTTTGATATCCCGTCTCCTCTGATCATAAGTGCAAAGAACATTGGAAATGTTGCTCGATTCATGAACCATAGTTGCTCTCCAAATGTCTTCTGGCAGCCAGTTATTTATGAGCACAACAATGAATCCTTTCTCCACATTGCATTCTTTGCAAAGAGACACATCCCACCTATGACAGAGTTGACATATGATTATGGCATTGCCCCCACAGATGGTGAGTCTAACAGCACGCCATCTGGTAGAAAGAAATGCTTGTGTGGGTCACCACAATGCCGGGGCTACTATTGATGGTGATTTAGGTATGATTGCCAGTGAAGAAGTAATGAGAATATGCAGTTTTTACAAAGGTTCAGACAATCCTACTCTATCGGCAATCTATAAGCAGGTTAAAAATTTCTTTATATGCAAGGCATGTATCAAAGTAGGATATGTCTGTTTTGCACTCTGTATTTCAAGTGACTGGTTATGTTACCGTCTTGACTGATGAACGGATCGTTTTAACTTATCCTGAATTCCTTTAATGAAGCTGCTTAATTATTTGTGTGCTAGTTCTATGCAGAATTTGGTTAAAATTTTATGGTGCTTCACAGTGATTAATTTGTTCTGTAAATCTATTATATGCCAATTAGAGGTGATAAATATTGTAGTAACTTATAACGATAAAAAGAAAAAGCTTTTATAAAAATGATCAAAATGAAAAGATTTTGAGGTTTTTTTTTTTTTTCAGGAAGTGAACAATCTGTTTCATGACCATCCATGGCAGAACCGGAAAGAACCTGGAGGAAGGCAGAATCAAGAGAACCAACTGCACCGGTTGTTGAGGAAGCTAAAACCTTGTTTATTTTGGAAAGCAATGAGGCCTATTGTTGTGTTAGCATTGTGTTTGATGTTCCATAATTCTGTTTCATATTGTCGTTACACAGCTACAAAAAGCAAAAAAATGAAATGCTTATTGCACTCCATTCCTTTAAATTTAATATCCTTCCATGTTATCAAATGAGGCTTTTACACGTACTCAATTATTAGATGTTACTAGTTTACAGTTGTTATATATAATTTTATTTTTTAGTAAGATTTTATTGAGTGAGACATATTAATGAATATACATTAATTATATTTTTTTTTCGATTAATGTGTATTCACTTTGCACTTGAACCTTCAGTCTAATAATATTAGTTACATTAAATAAATGCACTACTCTCCCTGGATGGGTTCGATCCGTACCATGTCAAATTATTCTACATATATATATATATGCTCAGTTGTTATAATTGTTGAGTTCCTACACTTTTAAGAGCTGCAACTTGTTAAGGAAACCAATAGCAATCCAGTCGAACTCAACCGGAGACCATCGAACATTATTGATTTCAGCATTAGATCCATACCACATCTCCGGTTCCAAATTATCCCCATTTTCCGACCGATCACCGGCGGCCACCACTTCCCATATGAGAGCCCTGGAGTCATCCCCGACAGAGCACAGCAGCCGTCCATTATACGGCGCCCAGGATATGGCATTGACACTTCCCTTGTGCCTACACAACTCCATCAACGGCGTGGTCGGGAACCGAATGTCGACAATCACCACCTTATTACTGTCCATCCCAACGGCTGCCATGAACCTCGGGTCCGCCTTGTTCCACTCGAGCCTCAACAAAGGACATTCCTGAATCGGATTTTCATAAATTATGGTCGATCTCTCCTTATCCCTCAAATCAAAAACCCGAATGGAACCGTCGCCGGAAACCGAGGCGAACACATTGAAACCGCCCCACGAAATATCATACACTTCCTTATCGTGCGCAACTAATTGCGTGTCCACCGCTTGTCTCTCCACATCCCACACCGTACACGTGGAGTCGACGCTGGCCGAAGCTACCCGCCGGGGGTCGAACTCCGCCCAGTCGAAGGACGTAATCGCCGAATTAAACTCGCTGCTCTTGTTCCCATTCATGAGCGATTTCAGCTCGATGTGGTCCTCATGGATTTCCCAGAGGCGCAAGTAATCACCAGACGTGGCGACTAAATCGGGGTTTGTTGTGTCCTCGGAGGGGAAGAACATGAGGTTGGTAGGAGCATAAGGGTGGTCGAAAATGAGGCGACTGTCGGTGGTGAAATCTGCAGCGTCAAGATTGAACTGAACTAATTCCACTCTATTACTGTACTCCTCCATGAAACTGCCAATGGCTAGGCGTGACCGTTTGTCTGGCCGGACAGACCAAGCTAGAGAGCAAACTGGCCATTGAGCAATGTAGGTGTAGACACCGGATTTCTTATCGGACGATGGACTTTGCATGGTGTGAAGAGAGACTAGACAATAGAGGAAGAATTTTGAAGAAAACCAAAAGTTTGAGGCAATAATTAAAAAGGAAAAGGAAAGGAAATGGGGAAGGGAAGGTGGAGCCGACAGTCAAGCTCCACGAGTGGTGTCACCTCGCCATCTAATGGTAAAACTTAAATTGCTTGCGTTGACTCTAACTCAATTAGCTTTGTTTCTGGAAGTTTTGTAGAAACTATCTAGCTACATTTTACTGGGTTGCTCCACCGAATACAACCGGGTAGCTATACACGCGCCATTCTTCCCTTCAGCGATGGCAGGGTCAGCCGGGAAGTACACATGAATGGCAGCAGGGATATTTAACTGTTTTGTATTATTATCACGAGGATATCATGTCAAAATCATCACGAGGATACAATGTAAATCATATAACGAAGTTTCCATTGCCTTCTTTAAAAAAAAATATATATATATAGTGGGGGTAGGTGGGGTTGGGTATTCCGTAGGCGAAGAATGGCCGAATCTTTACTCCCTTCGAGCTGGGGGCCCATACGCTATAGGAATGACGTTGTAGTATAGGAAAGATTACGTGTCTCCTTAGTTGGAACCTATAACTTCCCCATGGAATTCAAAATTTTGCAATTGGATAAAGTGAATTCTTAAAATTTTAAATAGCAAATTAAAAGTACAAATAAGTAGTACTTGCATCTATCACATTTTTCTTGTTTTGTCTTCCCTTCACATTCACATGATAGACTCTCACATATCGTGTGAAGATTTTAGTAATCTAAAATGTCTTAATAATATAAACCTACTAGGCTTGTCAATTCCTTTTTGGTATGTTTCTCTTGTAAGTTGGTCACTTGGTCCCTTTTTCCATTTTTGTTTTTACTTTTAGGTAAATATAAAGCCTACTGCACTTCTCAACTCCTCTTCCTATCCCTCTCCTTTTTTTTCTTTTTTTCTTTTTTTGTAATTTCACTTTTAGGGGTATTGCAACTTTGATCATTTAGTTATTTCATGCAAATATGTGGTGGCCTTTTATTTGAAGTGAGACCTACTTACTATAAAAATACAAATGATAGAAATTGGTGAGGGTATTCCCACAAAAGCTGAACTTCATCGCAAAGATATTTTGTTCGACAACAAGGCCCTGTTATGTCTTCTTTGCTTCGAAGAGGTGGAATGTGTGTTGACCATCAATTTGTTAAATGCAATAAGACACAACATTTGTGGAAAAGGTGTTATAATTGGTGGGGCCTTAATGTCACATCTCCAACAAATATCCATCAACTCTGTAGAAGATATTGTGTTGGAATTTAAAATTACATTAGAGCAGAGGTTTAGTCTTCTATTTTCTTTGTGTTTATTGGGTCAATTTGGTTTATGAAGAATTCAATTCTGCATAATTCAATCCTTTGGGTTAAGATGACAGCCTTTGAAATGATCCAAAGAAGAACTTTCATTTGGCTCCGTGGAATGACAAAGGGGAGTGTATTTGCGTTCTCACAGTGGCGCCCTAATCTTAAACTTTGCATTAGATGGCTCTAGCATCTTTTTGTCTTTGGATTTTATTGTTTAATTTCTATGTTTGTTAGACTAGATAGGCTTTTTATGTAAGAAAACAACTTTGATATAGGATTTGTATATAAATATGAGTACTCCTTAAATTTTATATTAATACATTTTAATTTGTCTAAAAAAAATTAGTAAGGGTAAAAGTAATTATTAAACCTTAAAACCTACAAGACTATAATTGTTTTAAATCTTTAAATGAAAAATAAGATGTTTTAAAATCAAACAATAATATAAGTGAACCATTTTAGCTTCTACTTTTTTTTAAAAAAAAAAAAACCCCATTAAGATTAAGAGTTTGGATAAAAATAATTTAATAAATAAATTAAAACACATCTTTTGCATAAT